AAGAGTGGAAAGTCGAGAAGAAAATGAATAATTCCGGTAGACTAAGGTTGCAAACAAATTGAGCAGATACACAAGCGCCTTTGTTTGCGACACTTAGCCATAGCATTCAGTGTCCCTAACCACTGAGCGCATTGATCCCGAGGTCCCTGTTCAGGGAGCCGAATGCAACTTATCGGACCGAGTCTTCTGCTCAGGGTTTGCATACCCTCATGCTATTTGGAAAACACCCTTTATCATCCTAAGTGGATCCCGCTTGATTGGGTTCAAGATTCTATGCAGCATCGGACGTGTTCAATTACCGTTATTCAGGAAACACGTGTAGTACGATTTCGGTTTCTGAATTTTAGTTACCAAACAACTTCCAGAATTTAGAATGAAACAAGNGATATTCTTGCAACTGATGAATCCGGATTACGTGTGGTCACCTGATTACTGAGTGTGGGCTGTGTTAACGACTTCACTAACCACTTTGTTCGGCCATCCGCTTTAATAATTGACGATTGGTGCTGCTTATGTATGCGTTACCGCAACTGCAGGTGAACTGGTACAAAATGTGTGAGACAGAACTGGATTATCAATCGTGTACACGTTTGACCAAATCGATACCCCGAGTAGAGGCAATAAGTCGGAGTTGAGCAGCCGGGAATGTGCGGTTGAGAGCTGACTTCAACTTTTGGCGCACATCTTTCAGAAGGTAATCACCCTTAAAAGATAGTTTGAGGTAAACAGCTTTCTTGGGGACAGTTGGGGATTGGTTACTCTTTTGAGATTGTTTACTACGGATTTCAATGCATTTTTCGGGGTGACCGTTTCGTAGTAACGTTTTTTAAAGAATCTTTCTTCTATCCGTAGTGTATCTGGAAGACTAATCTTCCTGGCTCGATGCAACAGAGGCTTTACGAGTCCACGTTTGTAAGCCATGGGTGAGAAGCTAGAGGAGTGTGGACACTGACCACTCTATGTTGCTTTTCTGTACCAGTTCACTCATAGTTGAGGTAACGCATAAATAGGCAGAACCAACCGTCCATTATCACAGTGGATGACCGAATACATTCTAAAATGGTTGGTGAAGTCGGTGACGCAACCCACACCCAGTAGTCAGTCAGTCATACATTACCCGGGTTTAGCGACTGCAAAACACCTGATGACAATCAAACACAACTGATTCCACTTCCGCTTGAAACAGGAGTTGTGAAATCGAACTGTTAATAGTTCGACCGAAGAAAACTTACTCCAGTAGTGGATTCGGCTTTCGTTTTTGCTGACGCTTGCAATTTTGTTTGTTCGTAGTATTGCTCCATAAGTAAACCAATGACCACGTACATCTTCTTCAACTGCAACGGACTCGCAGTCCTATTTTTGGTCGCCAGTTGAGCCTCCTGCAACGGAAATTTACACACACAGCCAGATGGTGATCGATAAGAAGTGAGCAAGAAGTGATTTTACTCTCTCTCTCTCTCTCTGAGGTATAGAAGAATATCACACAATAAGAGATTATCCGCGTTGCAATTTACATCATAGTGACAGCAGTCAGAGTGTGTTTGATCTGGAAATCTCTCCCACTTCCCGTCGTCCGTACAACAAGCATTGAATCTTTCAAACTGAGACTCAATGAAACATCAGCACAATTTACATTCCAACATAATTGAAGCTGCGTGCAGCAGTGGAGGAATCCCGTATCATGTGACATCTTTACACAAGGAATTGTATGTATCACTGTCTTGTAACCACAACCCAAACCTATGGGACGAGAAAAGCATGAGTTTGTAAGTTATTCCCATAATAAATCTTTGATCTTTGAATGCTGAACTCCCCATGTATGTATGCAAGCAACTGTTTACGATGCAAAAATGTCCAAAAGTGAAGACTGAAGTTTTCCCGTTTTATTCCCAATGCATCTTTTTAACAATGCACCCCGGGCTTAGCATTAATGGATCGCATCCAAGATTCGATCGCTCTCGGTATGTGAATTTACGGATTCAAAATTAATGAACAACTAACCCCAGCCAACATTTGCCCCACCCGTGTTGTCCGATAAACCCGCACTCATTCTAGAAGTGTTCATTGCACGTTTTTATTTCATATATATATATATATATATATATATATATATATGTGTGTGTGTGTGTGTGTGTGTGTGTGTGTGTGTGTGTG